ACCTCCCTGGGTAGATGATATAGTAGACTGGTGTGGAGCTAGTCTACAGGAACTAAGCCACTCTGCATTGGACAGGGAAGGATGGAAGGAAATAGTGAGGGAGGCATCGGACACCAATGGGCGTTGAGCCCATGGTTGTTGTTGATGATGGTGATGATAATGCTGCCTACCCATCAGGATGTGGGAAATGTACCATACATTTGTCCATGGGCTGGCTCAGACTGATGGAGAGTTGCCCACTAATCCCACATTGAAGCTAAAGAAGTTAGTTAAATGGAAATTTTGGTACAGCGCCAAAAGTCAGATCCGTGCAACCAGCATGGAAACTTTTTTTCTAAAGACACCATAATAGAGGCACAACTGAAATTTATATTCCAAGTTAAAAAACACAGGAAGAGAACCAATGCGGTACCCCCATGGGCTAAACAACAAAGTAGAAGAAGCAGTAGGAGACAAAAAAGAGTCCTTTAAAAAGTGGAACCAGAAAGTTGCAGCGCAGTAAAGTACCAGCGTAGACTTAGGCCTAGTGAGGAAAACAGAAAGGAGCATAAACTCTGTCAAATGAAGTATAAACATATAATTCAGAAGGCCAAAAAAGAATTTGAAGAACAGCAAGCCAAAGACTCAAAAAGCAATAGCAAACATGTTAAGTACCTCAGAAGCAGGCGACCAGCTAAACAATCTGTGGGGCCACTGGACGATCGAGATGCTAAAGGAGCACTAAAGAACAAAAAGGCCATGGTGGAAAAACTAAGTCTTCACAGCTGAGGATGTGAGGGAGATTCTCATATCTGAGCCATTCTTTTTAGGTTAAAAATATGAGGAACTGTCCCAGATTGAGGTGGCATTAGAGGAGATTTTGGAACAAGCTGATAAACTAAACAGTAATAAGTCACCAGGATCAGATGGTATTCACCTAAAAGTTCTGAAGGAATTCAAACTTGAAATTTCAGAACTACTAACCATAGTTTGTAACCTACCACTTAAATCAGCTTCTATACCAAATGACTGGAGAATAGCTAACGTGATGCCAATTATTCAAAAAAGGCTCCGGAATTGATCCTGGCATTTACAGCCTAGTAAGCACAATACTCCAAGGCTGCGTCTAGACTGGCAAGTTTTTCCGCAAAAGCACCTGCTTTTGCACAAAAACTTGCCAGCTGTCTACACTGGCCACTTGATTTTGCGCAAAAGCACTGATGTTCTACTGTCCGAAATCAGTGCTTCTTGCACAAATGCTTTGACATTCCCGTTCGAGCCAAAGCCCTTTTCTGGAAATGTTTTTGCGCAGGAGGGCCAGTGTAGACAGCTAAAAACTGTTTTGCGCAAAAAAGCCCTGATGGCAAAAATGGTGATCGGGGCTTTCTTGCGTAAAACTGTGTCTAGATTGGCACGGATGCTTTTCTGGAAAAAGTGCTTTTGCAGAAAAGCGTCTGTGCCACTCTAGACACTCTTTTCTGCAAATTCTTTTAAAGGAAAAACTTTTCAGTTAAAAGCATTTGCGGAAAATCATGCCAGTCTAGACGTAGCCTAAGTGTTAGAGGAGACACACTCAATGAGGCAGCAATAGAGCTCAAGTCCCAGTCTACTGCTGCAACCAACAGGTCAGACATACATACCGTAGCTGGGCATTGTATTGAAAATGCTTCTGAGAATGGCTTTGTTTGATTGATAGAATTGAAACAGGACCCCAGCTGATCACACTTCACTATTCTTTCCAATGCCTAACCTGCTCAGGGCTTGTACATTTAAATAAATAATAAGACAGAAATTATCATATTGTCGCTATAAAAATCCATGATATGCCCACATCTACATGCAGATGTGGTCACCCCATCTCAAAAAAGATATATTAGAATTGGAAGAGGCTCAGAAAAGGATAACAAAAATGATTAGGGGAATAGAATGACTGCCATATGAGGAGAGATTAATAATATTGGGACTTTTCAACTTAGAAAAGAGATTACCAAGGGGGAATATGATAGAGATAAATATAGATATAAAATCATGATTGGTATGGAGAAAGTAAATAAGAAAGGGTTATTTACTCTCTCTCTCATAACACAGGGTGTCATCAAATGATATTAATAGGCAGCAGATTTAAAACAAACAAAAGGAAGTATTTTTTCACACAACACACAGTCATCCTGTGGAACTCCTTGCCACATGATGTTGTGAAGACCAAGACAGTAACAGACTTTTAAAAAGATCTAGATACATTCACGGAGGATTGGTCCATCAGCATCTATTAGTCAAAATGGGCAGGAATGGTGTCCCTAGCCTCTGTTTGCCAGCAGCTGAGAATGGGCAACAGGGTATGGATCACCTGATGATTGTGTTTTCTGTTCATTCTCTCTGGGGAACCTGGCATTGGCCACTGTCAGAAGACAGGACACTGGGCTAGATGGACCTTTGCTCTGACCCTGTATGGCCTTAAGCATCCTACCAGCTTAGGTCTTGGTTTTGGAGCTGCTCCATGTGTGGCCCTTCCCTGTTCCAAAGACGCACATTGCGTTCTCCACCTGTCTCCTCCCAAAGCAGGTGGCAGACTGTTTCATCTGGGATTGCAGACAAACACATGGCTCCTGCAAGTCTGGTTTTAACTTTTGTGAGTGTTAAACATGGAAATAGCAAGGAGCCAAACCACCCTCTCCAAAATACCCCCCAGCAAATCATGTGCTCTCTTTCCAGCTAAAGGCACAGTGAGGAGGAACCCATCCATTTTCCCTGTCCCTCTGCCATTGGAGGATGAGATGCGAGAATTCCCTGAGGTCTTTGCTGATTTTCTGTATTTCCACTGGTTGCGTCAGTCTGTCTTTATTTTGTTTCTCCCATACAAAAAGAGGAAAGTGACCTAGCAGGCTTTTCTAGTAGAAGAGCTCACAGATTTGCTTTAATCTCCCAGTGTCACTACAGTTAATTTCCATAGTGCAGTAACACGAAGAGTCCACATGACCCTAATGCATCTTTAGCCACTCTTCTGCAGGTCTTCACCAATTCCAGAAACAGTGCTTCTGCTGAGATCTTCTGGGAGCAGAGATGCAGAGAAGCACAGAACCTATGAACTCCCCAGCAGTTCGAGTTCAATGCTTTACACCCAGCAAGGAGCGACACTTCAGTTCACTTGTGACCCTGGCATAGAACATTGGGAGTCATGAGATGCGAGTGATAGTCCTGAGTTAGGCACTGCCCTGCTCTCCAGCTTTGGAATTTAACTTCACCTTTTGTATCCCCTCCCATCCCTCATTTGCCTTGTCTATTTGCTGTGCGTTGGTACAGCACCCAGTGCAATGGGGCTCTGTCCTGTGTGTTTGTCCAGCACCCAGTGCAATGGGGCTCTGTCCTGTGTGTTTGTCCAGCACCCAGTGCAATGGGGCTCTGTCCTATGCGTTGGTACAGCACCCAGCGCAATGGGGCTCTGTCCTATGCGTTGGTACAGCACCCAGCGCAATGGGGCTCTGTCCTATGCGTTGGTACAGCACCCAGCGCAATGGGGCTCTGTCCTATGCGTTGGTACAGCACCCAGCGCAATGGGGCTCTGTCCTATGCGTTGGTACAGCACCCAGCGCAATGGGGCTCTGTCCTATGCGTTGGTACAGCACCCAGCGCAATGGGGCTCTGTCCTATGCGTTGGTACAGCACCCAGCGCAATGGGGCTCTGTCCTATGCGTTGGTACAGCACCCAGCGCAATGGGGCTCTGTCCTATGCGTTGGTACAGCACCCAGCGCAATGGGGCTCTGTCCTATGCGTTGGTACAGCACCCAGCGCAATGGGGCTCTGTCCTATGCGTTGGTACAGCACCCAGCGCAATGGGGCTCTGTCCTATGCGTTGGTACAGCACCCAGCGCAATGGGGCTCTGTCCTATGCGTTGGTACAGCACCCAGCGCAATGGGGCTCTGTCCTATGCGTTGGTACAGCACCCAGCGCAATGGGGCTCTGTCCTATGCGTTGGTACAGCACCCAGCGCAATGGGGCTCTGTCCTATGCGTTGGTACAGCACCCAGCGCAATGGGGCTCTGTCCTATGCGTTGGTACAGCACCCAGCGCAATGGGGCTCTGTCCTATGCGTTGGTACAGCACCCAGCGCAATGGGGCTCTGTCCTATGCGTTGGTACAGCACCCAGCGCAATGGGGCTCTGTCCTATGCGTTGGTACAGCACCCAGCGCAATGGGGCTCTGTCCTATGCGTTGGTACAGCACCCAGCGCAATGGGGCTCTGTCCTATGCGTTGGTACAGCACCCAGCGCAATGGGGCTCTGTCCTATGCGTTGGTACAGCACCCAGCGCAATGGGGCTCTGTCCTATGCGTTGGTACAGCACCCAGCGCAATGGGGCTCTGTCCTATGCGTTGGTACAGCACCCAGCGCAATGGGGCTCTGTCCTATGCGTTGGTACAGCACCCAGCGCAATGGGGCTCTGTCCTATGCGTTGGTACAGCACCCAGCGCAATGGGGCTCTGTCCTATGCGTTGGTACAGCACCCAGCGCAATGGGGCTCTGTCCTATGCGTTGGTACAGCACCCAGCGCAATGGGGCTCTGTCCTATGCGTTGGTACAGCACCCAGCGCAATGGGGCTCTGTCCTATGCGTTGGTACAGCACCCAGCGCAATGGGGCTCTGTCCTATGCGTTGGTACAGCACCCAGCGCAATGGGGCTCTGTCCTATGCGTTGGTACAGCACCCAGCGCAATGGGGCTCTGTCCTGTGTGTTTGTACAGCACCCAGCGCGATGGGGGCATTTAGTGCTATGAATTCTGCTGAATACTAAGCAGGTTTTTGCATAGCATTGTAAAGGTAAGTGCTATCATGTGATTGCTAAGATGGAGAAACTGAGGCCCTGAGAAGTGAGTGATCTCCCTAGGTCACACAGCCGATCCTGTGCAGAGTCTGGAGTAGATACTAGGTCTGCTGATTGGACAATGCAGCCTCTCCAGTACGTTAGCAAAAGAATCTTCCCTGACCCTCCATCAAACTGTGAGTTGTTTTCTAGGTGCAAAAACATTCCTCCTACTTGGATGATGATTATTTCCCTGCATTAAAGAAGCGCCCAGAGGCCAGTAGAATCATCAGCTTTTTGCTGAAACCCTTTATTGATGTATTGCTGAGACAAAAAGGACCAAAAGTCTCCCAAGAGAGCCCACTGACATGAGATTTCCAGTCCCCTTATACAGGTCAGGCCAGAGTTTAAAGTAAGGTAGGAGGGGGAGCTCCTCTTCCTCTCCATGGTCTGGCTGCAGTGCCTCTTCTTGGATAGGTAGTGCCACTTCCTCGCTGGCTGGCATGTGGACTTTCTGGCCACTTTCCATCTCCTTTGGAGCCTGGTACAGATCCACTAACTACAGAGGGTTTTGATAAGGTCTGGAGAAGCTCCCACATTTTGGGCCTTTCTCCAAATCAAACCCAATCGGCAAACCCAAGTGTGGGATGGAACACACTCCGCTGAACTGGTATCAAGCTGACAGCGGACCCAGCTGAGGCTGTGTGTTGGCCATCTCTGTTAGTTGCTGGCAGGAACTGCGCCACAAAAGCATTTGGGTAGAAGAAGAAAAGCAGTTAGATTTAAATAAAAGAAAATCCTTCATGCAGGGGCTCTTATATGATCCAGCCAATTGTGGAGCCCTTGTGCTATTGCTGTCAGCTCTCCAGCAAGCCAAGGGTTAATTTTGGTGTGGCTTTTGTTCTCGTGATTCTGAATAGGGCAGCTACCAGCTGCTCAGAAATAACTTTGGCTCTTCAAATTTCAAGACCAATACCATCATTGGCCATCCAAGCCCTCCCCTTTGGCCACTGCAGATAATGGGAATCACAGATCTTTAAACTGCTCTGGGGAATAGGGTACCCACAATTTGAGGGTGTTTTAAATGTTTTGTTCTTAACCCCAGTTGAGCCCATTTTGTACAAAATATAAAATGAAATTGCCACGATCTTAAACCTTTCTGCTTGGAAATTTTGGATTTTGGAGCACAAATGGTTTGATTATAAGTGAAAGATGGTTTTGAAATCTGAAATTAAATAGCTGGCATGTTTTCCCCTCCAACAGCATTGGGCAGGGAACAGAAATGCCTCTGCCATTTCTTCATCCTTTTCCCTCTGAGCTGGGGAGAAGGAAGGGATTATAGAGCTCAACCCAAGCTAGCCACATATGCAAGTGCAGGCTCTCAGCTAATTTGCAGCAGCGGGCGAAGACCAAACCATTGTTCCAATGCAACCCAGTGTGAGTCAATGGACGCAAGCTGAAACTGGCAGTCCAGAGACCTGCTTGTTGAGTGACTTGTTGAGTGACCTTGGGGGAGTCACTTAAGGCAAAATATTCAAAGCAGCCACTCGGTTTGGATTCCTTAATTTTCAGTGCTCGGAATGAGACTCTCGGGGCCCGCGTTGAAGAGGAGTTGAGCGCTGTGGGTGAGCAGGACCTAGGGATCTCAGGCAGGATGCTCAATATACCAGACAGGCTAACAGGCATCAGCATTGCTGAGTGTCGCAAGCGGACACTCTGAGATCTTTGCAAAAATGTCTCGTGGCTGTTATTACAATTATGAATCAGACGAGCCAGGAGATTGGCACCTGGCCTGGGGAGCTGCTCCTTGGGACTCCGGGCATGGTTCCTAATTAGCCCATCTCCTGTTGTGGTTTGCTGTGACCGGGGTTGTGTGCATGTTGCTAGTTCTGTCAAACCAGGCCGGATTAAGGAAAGGCTCTGTCAGGCTGGCAGCGCTACGGATGTCTGCCAAAAGTCAGGGGAATTCTCCCCCACCCCTCGAAGAAAAAATGGCTTTTCCAGGTTTTTGCTTTGCCTGCAAACCCGGCTCTCCTTCCATTCGGAAGCACCGATGCAAAAGCACACTGCTTGGGGAGATGACATTGGACCTTCCATGATGCAGAGAACAAGGCTGCCCCAGCTCCAGATTTTGATGCCAAAATGGTTCCTGCAAACCTGGAAGCCTCAGGGGTTTCTGTCTATGGCAAGGCAGCCTGGCTCCCAGTGAATAACCATAATGCAGTCTCCTCTGAGGACAGAGCCCTCTTTTTTATATTTATATATATACTTTTGTGCTTTTTAATGAATTGGACCCTGTGTTCATGCCAGGCATTTGGCCATTTGCCTTGCCTGGCTTTTACAAACCATTAGAGCTGGCTTTATTCTGCTTTCCTACAGTCCTGACATTGGAAAATGTGTATATTGAGAAAGGGCAAGGGAAGGGAAAGGAGAAAAGAAAGCAAAGCAAAGCAAAGAGTAAATTCACTTCCTCAAGTCTTGTCTTACAGTGATATCAGGGACAGGAGAGTTTTGCAAACCTAACCCCTTAACCTCAGGTGCTGGGATTAAAGAGAGAGAGAGAGAGTGTGTGTGTGGGGGGGGGCTGTTTCCCTCCTTTTGATGGCGTAAATGAGGAAGCTGTGGACTTGCAGGGTACTGGAAAGACATATGTGCTTCATTATCTGGATTCCTTGTATTGTTTCAGCTTGTCATTGCTGGCTGGGAACATACAGCCTTGAGCTGTTCCCATTTTTAAAATGCACTTTTTCTGCCCCGGATTATTGCCAAGTGGAGATTTAAGAACACTATTACTTTTATGGGGGCTATTAAGGGTTATTAGATCCCATTAGAGCAAACTATGCTCTTTTGTAACAAGGAAAAAAAACCCTTTTCTAGATTTTTGAACAATCATACACACAGATTTAAACACAATGGCACGTTCCTATATACCCACACACATTTGCATTATATCTTAGTCCAATGGGAGTGTTCTTTGTTGTTTTTTAAAATGTCCTAATAGACTCCCTTAAAGATCATATTCTACTTGCTTAACTTTAAAGCCAGTCCAAACGGTCCTTGAAAGCCAGGTGTGTTGGCTGTTATGACATGATGGTCTAACTAGGGATGATGGGGGGAAGGGATCTGAAATCCATAGAAAGCAATCCCTTTTTATTGGATTCAGATGAGTCCCCTAATGCGAGTCATTGTGAGCCCAAGGAAATCTCCTACAAAGTCAATGGAAGCCTTTATACAGGAGTTGAATAAGGCCCAATATTACCATAGGGGGGTTGCTTCATACTATAGGCAGAAGCTGCCAGTAATGATGGATGCAAACAATACCAGTTCCTGGCAGGCTCGGACTTCTTAAAGATAGGGTGAACCAGTTTGGATGAAAATGTAGACCTGGCTCACCCCCAAACCTTTGCCTTCGTTCAGCTCTAAACCTCACACCTTGCTCTATAATGTGCCGGACCAAAACCCCACATCTGGAGATGCCCCACATTTTGCAGAAATGCAGCTCCATGCCCCTCTGCTTTGCAGCTCAGACCCAGCCCTTCTCCAACCATTTTGCCCATTGCTTGTTTTCCTCACATTAAACTGAAAAGAAAAAAAGGAGACCAGAAAAGAGGTTAAAAAAATTTAAAATGAATGGAGATTGCCTATCTCCAAGAACTGGAAGGGTCCTTGAAAGGTCATCAAGTCCAGTCCCCTGTCTTCACAGCAGGACCAAGTACCATCCCTGACACATTTTTGCCCCAAATGGCCTATGCAAGAATTGAATTCATAACCCTGGGTTTAACAGGCCAATGCTCAAACCACTGAGCTATCCCTCCCCCCTAGGTATCTCAACAGAGCAAAGAATTCTCCATTCTCCACTCTGAAAGCACTACCCCTACCTTGCTTCCTGCACCCCCACCTCTGCCCTGACTCCTGCACTCCCCATCCCCTGCCCTGACTCCCCCCCCCAACTCCTGCCTTAGAGAGAGGGAAGCTCCTCCATCACCCCATCAGCATCATGCCCTGCAACCAGCATTTCCAATAGCCCAGCCCTAGGACAGGTCAAAGGTGTCCTGAGCTGTGGTTTCTATGGTCTGTTTTAGGAACAATGGCATAGATCTTCCTGAAGAACATTGAGGTTTTTTTTTTGGCATCACCATGGGGAGATGACTAAGGGCTGCCACAGGAGAGGGAAAAACAAACAGAAAAGAATAAAGGGGCCGGAGATGCAGTTCTAAAGCAAAAGGTATAAATCAGTCAGCCCTTCCCTTCCCCGGGCTGTCTTGCCGCCAGCACATGAACTACATTCCCTTTTAGGATAAGACTTTGGCATGGATGGCAGAATGCACTAATGCTCCATCGTGTTACTGCCACAGAGCATTGATTGGCAAGATGATACACCCTCAGGAAAACCTTGGAGGAAGTGAGTTGCATGCCATTGCTGGGTAGGAGGGTGGGAGGTGTCCTGGCCTGGGGAAGCTGTTTTGTGGGGAAGCATGCTAAAAATTGAGAGATTAATGAGTTCCCAGAGCATAAAACAAACCCAGAATTAGAGGTAATTGTTCAATATATATATATTCCTCAAGCAAGCTACCTGTAGGGGATTTGTGTAGGAAGGAATCCAGTTCCTTGATTTCCCCTCCCTTTGAAAGGCTGACTTAATAAAGCAATTAGCCACATGAAGAGGCAAAGAGCAGAATTCTTATGTATGTTGTTTGCTTTTCTTTTCTTGGAGACATGTGCCAGAGAAGGCAGTGGGAAGAGCAGGGTGGCTTTGCCTGGCTTTCATATCTGTGCTTGCTTAGCTCAGTAATTTTTGTTGTTGTTGTTGAACTCTGAAATTGTTGGGCCTTAGCTAGGGAAAATAGTGCCTTTTTCCAATTTTCAGCGTGGTCAAACCAGCTGAACTCAACTGAAAAGTAGTGTAGACATAGATGAATACCTTTTCCTCAATATTAGCAGGTGGAGTTAGAGCCAGGGTAGCTGGTTTGAGCTAGCTTGATAGAATAAAACAAGATTGAGGTGTGCGCTGAAGGCTTGTCTTCACTTACCTTGAGATCAGTGTTCTAGAGATGGATCTCCTGGGGTTTGATTTAGCAGGTCTAGTAAAGACCCATTAAATTGACCCCTGATGGCACCCTGTTGACCCTGGTACTCCAGTGGGTCATGAGGAGTAAGGGAAATCAATGGGAAAGTTTCTCCTGTCAACCTCCCATAGTGGGGATGCCACAGAAATTTGACCTTAGGTACATGCTACGCTATTCTTGTAGCTGTAGTTGTGTATCTTGGGTGGACTTTGTCCCATAGTGTAGACCTAGCCTGAGAAGAAAATAGGCATGAATGAGTAAGCTTCTTCCACACTCTCCAGCCCTGACATTGAGGAACCACTGAGAGGGAAGTCTAGTCTCTGTGGGCCATTCAACTTTGGCCTTTCTATCAGAGTGTCCAAGCACCATCATATTGACGGACTGATTATATTAGTGGTGTCAGTTCTGCTTGAATCCCAGTTTCAGGCCTAATCCTGCAGTTCCCCCAAACCCACTTAATGCAGTGGGATAAGCCTTCAGTTCATTGCTGGTTTTAATTGCGAAGTTCCCTCGTGAAAACTGACAAAATGGCTCTTGGAAACGTCAGGATTTTGCAGATTAATGACATACAGCAAACTGTATAATGCTGTATTTAAAAAGAACTAGAAAGCTGGCTGCTTGGACAGTAATTCTTTGCTTTCTTTTGGAAGAGAAATGTTTAGTTTTGAAGG